CCTCTTTTTCACTCCATTTCCCTTTCCTCTTTTCAATATTATTTTTGCTATTCTCAGTTAGTTCCAATCTTTCACGGACAAAGATTACGTGACAAATTGTCATGCAAATAGTCACGATAGTCACGGAAATAGTCATTTTATAAACTGCCATCAGTTTTAATCACTAATAAACTCAGAAGTACGGGCTGCCATCAGAAATACAACAGTGCATAGTAGTCCAGATAAAAGAGCAATTAAATGATCTAGTGACCTTTATACAACTTTTCAGTAAAATCAGACGTTTTGATTGGTTGGCTTTCGTGTGTTATCAAAGTATAGATACACGGATTACGTCAAAACTAATTGTTTGTTGTATAAAACAGATAGATCTCATTTTTCCGTGCGTGTGTACTCTAATAGATACACAGATGACGTCAAAATGTAGTGAGAACAACAGTCACGCACTCGACTTCGTCTCGTGCGTACTTTTTTGTTCTCACTACATTTTGACGTCATCTGTGTATCTATTAGAGTACACACGCACGGAAAACTGAGATCTATTTGTTAAATACAAATGTCCTAGTAGCTATACAACCAAAGGGAAAGTCTATAGGGCAGAGCACAATGACACAATGACTAGAAAACGCATCAGTTAATTAAGCCCTCTGGCTCAATTTTTTACAGCAAACTTTAAATATTTTTTATACTTATTTATCCTTTTTCATTACAAACGACAAGAATCTAACCGTAATCGTGACCGTAGCGACGATGAAACTCGCGAGAAAACAAGAACCGCTTACCAACCACTTCAGTTTGCCAACAAACAGGAAAGAGGCATTTATGAAGAAATGGACCAAAATACGAAAAGTGACAAAATTGTTAGGTAACGATTCGCAGGCATGGCATTCCGTTTATCAGTCACTTGGCAAGGATGCAATCGATCCTACATATCAAGGACTGCACATCTATGAAAATAAGAATGTACAATCCCAGATAAATAGTCCGGGCTATCTTGATTTGTTGTCATAATTATTAAACATTTTCTTTGTGATGTAGTAATTTTGGGCTGAAAACTAAGGATAATAATAGAGAAATAAAGTAAATAATTGTCAGTCTCTTTATGAAATGCAGCGTTCGCTCAGCTTTTCTATTCGCTTTTCCTTTTCTCTTTTTAGTTTTTATAGTTTTTAATCATTATAGTTTATATTATTTTTGCTGGTCAAACTTTAAACACTTTTGTTCTGTTTACTGCTTCTTTCTATACCTATATGGCGTTGCTGTTTCGCAGAAGCACAAGATWACTAAAGATAATTAGCAAAATGATTTCCTATGCTTATATGTTTGATGGAAGAAAGCGGTCAACCATTTAGTTATTTTAATAATTTTACTATAAACTRCACAAAGTCATTTGTTTGTTAAAACTCTAAAAACATGATACATGGACAATATAAAAAATTCATCGTGGTATAAAAGCAATGTTTTCTTGTCTGGAAACTTATAGTTCATCTTTGACTTTGGGCTGCTCGCCACCATGTAACCACCCCTTGTACGAGTCCTCGGACCCAGGCTTCCCGATTACATTTAACCACAAGTTAGTGATCCATTTATTTCCTTTAGTGACGTCACATCCGCCATGGAATGTCCTTTCGTCGAGTTTTCCGAGCCAACCTATAAAATTGACGAGTTGTGACGTCTGTTTTATCGTTTATGGTTTATGGTTTTACATCTTTAACCTTTTTATTCTTAATATAATGTAATTTTTTTTAAAGGCCCATCGGAGAACCTTTTCGATCAGTATAATTTACAAATAATCTCGCGTTGAAAAGTCGCTTTCCTGAATTGTTCAATGTCAAAACTTCATGTGTRACAAAATTTCACGAAGGCTACAATCCAAGACAAAGTGAATGGGACAGAAAGCTATATTACTGCGCTCTAACGGATGCAATCCCCTATTATTTTAATCCTCCCCCGTCCCCTATCCCCACAGTCAATGTTGTTGCCAATTTGGCGGGAATGTTACTGCATGAAAATAGGTTCTTTGGAGCCCAACTTTGTAAATGGAGGGTCCCGGGGGTAAATGTCTGTTTTTTTCAGTAGACATACATATTATTGTCCATGTATTTTGTAGGTATCAAGAATTCGTTGCCATCTGTGGGTACCCATGATCCCTTTTGGTCGTGTACTATTAAACAAACATCTGATATGCTCACAATCTTTTTGAAATCGCTGTACAGCCCTTCTCACCTGATCTGGAATCCCTGTAATGGTTGTACCACATTATCGCTTTGCCTTTTTTCGGTTTTACARTGATATTAGCGTCCTTGCAGTGTCGGGCTAGATTCATTTTGTGTCCTTCACGAGTCAAAGCCTGAAACAAATGAATATATTGACCGGATAACTAAAAAGGTATCCCTGCTGAGAGGACAATTAMGACAAATACAAACCTCTTTTGAAAGTGTTTTATTGCCAGCGAAAGGGAATGCCGTCTCACCACCTTCTTCTGGCTCGTTGAGGTATACCAATACTGTCATGTATCTAGGAAAAAAATGATTGATTGATTGATTGACAGGTTGATTGATTGGCTGACTGACTGATTGATTGACAGGTTGATTAGAATTGATTGACTGATTGATTGACAGGTTGATTGATTGGTTGAATGATTGATTGATTGACAGATTGATTGATTGATTGNATAAGAAAGACTGTTTATCACACCTGAGCAAGATAAAACGAGATTCAAACTAGATAAGAAAGACTGTTTATCACACCTGAGCAAGATAAAACGAGATTCAAACTAGATAAGAAAGACTGTTTATCACACCTGAGCAAGATAAAACGAGATTCAAACTAGATAAGAAAGACTGTTTATCACACCTGAGCAAGATAAAACGAGATTCAAACTAGATAAGAAAGACTGTTTATCACACCTGAGCAAGATAAAACGAGATTCAAACTAGATAAGAAAGACTGTTTATCACACCTGAGCAAGATAAAACGAGATTCAAACTAGATAAGAAAGACTGTTTATCACACCTGAGCAAGATAAAACGAGATTCAAACTAGATAAGAAAGACTGTTTATCACACCTGAGCAAGATAAAACGAGATTCAAACTAGATAAGAAAGACTGTTTATCACACCTGAGCAAGATAAAACGAGATTCAAACTAGATAAGAAAGACTGTTTATCACACCTGAGCAAGATAAAACGAGATTCAAACTAGATAAGAAAGACTGTTTATCACACCTGAGCAAGATAAAACGAGATTCAAACTAGATAAGAAAGACTGTTTATCACACCTGAGCAAGATAAAACGAGATTCAAACTAGATAAGAAAGACTGTTTATCACACCTGAGCAAGATAAAACGAGATTCAAACTAGATAAGAAAGACTGTTTATCACACCTGAGCAAGATAAAACGAGATTCAAACTAGATAAGAAAGACTGTTTATCACACCTGAGCAAGATAAAACGAGATTCAAACTAGATAAGAAAGACTGTTTATCACACCTGAGCAAGATAAAACGAGATTCAAACTAGATAAGAAAGACTGTTTATCACACCTGAGCAAGATAAAACGAGATTCAAACTAGATAAGAAAGACTGTTTATCACACCTGAGCAAGATAAAACGAGATTCAAACTAGATAAGAAAGACTGTTTATCACACCTGAGCAAGATAAAACGAGATTCAAACTAGATACATATACAAAGACTGTTTATCACATTTTATTATGCTAATAATTGGCAAATGGGTTTTCATTAAAAAGCGATATTTTATGTTTTCCTATGCCGCACAAAGGAAGACTAACATAGAGAGAAACACACTCTAGCTTAAAGAAATGGCACCCTTCTTAGCCAATCAGAATGAGCGTACTTGGAATTTAAAATAATTAATGTTGTCTCACCGTCATGATCTAAGTCCATTTCCAAATCATCAAACCTAAAGACAAAATATAAAATTAGATATTTTGCTATTACATAATTCGGATAAAAAACAGCTACACTAAGATGATGTTAAATTAAAGTACTGTCCGTCGTCTGACTATCTGACTATCTGTCTGTTTGTTTGTCTTACATTTTCATGACATCTTCATCTGTTATGTACAAGTCTGATTTACCAGGAAGCCATGCAATCTGGTCACCAGAAGATAAGTAGGTCAGTACCAGGAATTAAAAAACAACCATAATGAAAATAAGAAAATCTGATCTTAACTAAAACGATGCATAAGKGCATTTGTGATGTCATATGTTACGTCATCACGTTACCCGACATACCTCACGAGGTGAGATGAAGCCATCCTTGTCATAGTCCCACTCATTRAATGTCTTTTCTGAAGTTTCTTCGCTGATCTCACCACCGATCAGGATTTGAGGACTTTTCTTGAAACCAACGCGGTTTGAATAAGCAAGCAGATGATCACATTCAGCCGCAGTAAAAAACTTAGGGATTTCTAACAAAAAATAAAGATCAGGATTAGTCAACAACCCTCAATCAATGAATCAATCTACCAATCAATCAATCAATCTGTATATATTTGGCTAAACTACAAAATACATACCAAATATAGGTGGTCTTGTACTCAGTGTAATTATCTTAGTTTTATGTTTGTGTCCTTCAAAGATATAGAAATCGCGAGAATATCCAACCTAAGATAGATAGTAAAAGCGCACCAAYCATTAGTTTACTGTGGAAGTAGGGTCTGAGAGGGATGCCTTGAGTTTCTTACGCTTTTATCGTGATGTTTTTTATTAGTTATTTTTGTTTTGTTTTATAATTATTGCTGTCATAAAAAGAATTGTTTACTAGCTATATATCATATTTTGATTCAACGACCAGTCTTTCTTAATGCTTGTTTCTATAGCAACAAGCTGGTGTTTACTGGTAGCTCCTGTAACACGTGTTTTTATMATTTCTGCTTAAGTCACAACGTTATATTCGTAATAATCGTGAAATCATTGGAAATAATGATCTTGAATCAAGTCTTATGTAAAATGATTATTTAAAATGTTAGACAAAGATGCACTAAAAATGATTTGCTTTTCGTTTATCTWA